TTTAAATATTGTTGGATAATAATGATAATTATTTTAGGTATTTATTAATTATTTTAGAAATAAAAAATCCTTGTATGACCAGTACCCTAAATTTTGTTTGTTGAGAAAAGACTTCATTAATTCATATCCCAATCTCTTTCCACACATAACTGCACTACCCACAGCATTAAGAAAAGTGAAAAAAATGATTAATTATAAATTATAAGTATACTATTAAATGCAAGTATATTATTCTGTTTTGTCTTGCTTAGATATAAATGAATGTGCACAAAATCCTTTGCTTTGTGCTTTTCGCTGTATAAATACTTATGGTTTTTATGAATGCACCTGTCCAGTGGGATATGAATTAAGAGAGGACCAAAAAATGTGCAAAGGTAAGGATCTCTTTAGCATGTTAATTGCCAATACAATTTTTATAGAATAATGTATTCTGTAAAGTTTCTGAAATTGAAGCATGACAATTTACTATGGAAGAGAAGGCTATTGATATAATGTCATCTTGTATGAAAGATTGTTGTTGTTAGTTGCAAAGTCGTGTCCTACCCATCGCAACCCCATGGACAACGTTCCTCCAGGCCTTCCTGTCCTCTACTATCCTCTGGAGTCCATTTAAGCTCAGTGACTCCATCCAGCCACCTTGTTCTCTGTCATCCCCTTCTTCTTTTGCCCTCAGTCTTTCCCAGCATTAGGCTTTTCTCCAGTTAGTCCTTCCTTCTCATTAAGTGGCCAAAGTATTTGAGTTTCATCTTCAGGATCTGGCCTTCTAAAGAGCAGTCAGGGTTGATCTCCTCAAGGACTGACCGGTTTGATCGCCTTTGTATGAAAGATGGAACTGAGCATTAAAGAATGTATGCAGAATGTATAAAATAATAAAATATGGAATTATTTGGTATTATTAAAAATGTTGTGCCTCATAAATTACTGAATTGCTACATTACATTTCAGTTTGGTTTTTGATAAGGTTACAAGAATCGGGATGGCATTCAATTTCCAATTTAACTCTGGTATTAAAAAAAATAGATTTGTTTTTCTACCATTTATATTATTTTGCTTTCTGAAAAGATCTTGATGAATGTGCAGAGGGTCTACATGACTGTGAATCAAGAGGCATGATGTGCAAAAATCTGATTGGAACCTTCATGTGCATATGTCCCCCTGGAATGACTCGAAGACCAGATGGAGAAGGTTGTATTGGTAGGTACCGAAACTAGGTACTTTACTTTGTTCTCTGTAATTCAGTTAAAAGCAAACAATTTTATTTAATAATTCATTCTTAGACAGTGGTAGTTTTTAATATTGCGTATTTTATTGCTAGGCATTGTAATTGTGTACGGTTGTCATCAGATTATTAGAGAAACAGCTAAAGAATCCAAATAAGGGTTTGTAATACAAATGCAAAAAAGGCTTGTTCATAGGCAGAAGCTGGTAACAGGACTTCTACAGGTTACACAGGATGTATTTACCTTCCACATCCCAGAAACTTAAGACCAGACCTTAAGGATTTAACAAGGTATAAATGAACCCATTGATACAGAGTTTCATGCCAGGACTATATATAATTCTGCCTGACAACCTCTGACATTTTAATTTCCACGACTACTAGAGAGGAGAACATTGCCAAGTCAATTTAGAATTGTAAACATAAATGATCTATATTTCACAAAGGAATCTCATAATAAAAGGGTTACATATATTATGGTTAGAATGTATTGAGTCATTATAAATTGTCATGTGAGAATGAATAGTAATTACATTATCAAGGTAGTGTTGCGGGAAAACAAACCAACTAAGCTGTCATATTTTATCAGCTCTCAGTAGATTTGTAGTTTAAGACACATGGAAAAAATAAACCTGAAAATTTTGTAATATGTAAAATGCACTACTTTTATTACATAACTATAAATATGAAGAATTGTCAATGTTGAAATAATTATGTTTGTTTATTATAAATTACACTATCTTATATTATTTGTATGCTAAAACAAAATTTCTATTTGTTCAATCCAGCTAAAGCTTCAAATAGTTATTCAATAAGTGCATACTTTCATTCGAATCTCTGACTATTTACCATTTCAGTTTTTCAGAAATTTAACACATATTTGTATCAAAACAGATGCAGATCCCTGTCATGCAGTAATTCTTATCTCTCTGCTTCCCAAAAAAACCCTCGCATTGAAATATTTTAGAAATGCAAGCTTACAAGAATTAAAATCATATCGGGTTTTTTTTTGGCACTCAATATAACTGTCTTTCTGAGGTTAGGACTTTTTAGCATTGAAATTTTTTTTAATCGGCTATCATCAGAAGTGTAGCTTTCATTTTGAATTGTGGGAATTACTGTTACTCTTTTTGCTTTTGTGCTATTTCATTTTTTTGTTTGTTTATTTTCTTGTAATCAAGATGAAAATGAATGCCACAGTAAGCCTGGTATCTGTGAAAATGGTCGTTGTATAAACATTATTGGAAGTTACATATGTGAGTGTAATGAAGGTTTCCAGTCAAGCCCATCTGGAACTGAATGCATTGGCAAGTAAATTTATATTCCTTAATTTCTATGTCTGTTTGCCTATAGTTTGTAGGTGCTACTGACAAGAATAAAGATATCTGTTTGCAACTTAAAATAGGGCTGTTGTTTTTTCACAAAAAGCAATCTTTACTAACTTTATTATTATTAGAATGCTACAATCATTTTAAAAAATTTACTTTGATGTAAGAGATATAAATTATCAAATGTTTTGAAATAAACAATCAAATGTTTTGAGTTAAAAGTTACTATATGTGAAGTGCTAAGCCGTTATCATAGCTAAAAATCTTCATTTCATTTCATGAAATATATATTTAGATGCTATTTTTATGAAAATATTTTTTCCAAAATATGACTACCCTAGAATCATGATTGAAAAATGAGAAATTATTTTAACAGAATGAAATGCTTCTTACTTAAACGTATGTTATTTCTCCACATTCATTACACAGACAACCGACAAGGTTTCTGCTTTGCTGAAGTCTTGCAGACAATGTGTCAAATGGCTTCCAGTAGCCGTAATCTTGTCACCAAATCAGAATGCTGTTGTGATGGTGGAAGAGGATGGGGCAATCAGTGTGAGATTTGCCCACTCTTAGTAACAACTCAGTACAAAAAGCTGTGTCCACATGGTCCAGGATACACCACTGACGGAAGAGGTATTCTTTGTGGAATCTTCAGACAAGTTTCCTTTTTCTAACTAGGAAGATGAAGATATATAATATTGCCTTAGTATCCCTAAAGATATCTTGATTTTGAAAATAGAAGAATATTGTGGTATACTTTAGCTGTATTGCTTAGCAAACAATTTCATGCGCAGTGAAATTTTCCTATGCAGTTAATAATTAAAATGGATTATTTGTATTGATTTAGATTATAGAGATTATTCATTGATAAACAGCTAGAAAATTCATTGTTAATAAATTGTCCAACCTTCCCAATCTCAAGAGAACATACAACAAAATGTTTATAGATTAGACAGTAGACTGCTGCTACTGGTCTTGGCTTTTCCCTACTTTCTTCCCCTTCAATCACTTCTGCCTAAAACATGCTGTTTCTGTATAGAAGTGAACCATCCAAAAATTGGCACTTCTTTTGCACATCTCTACCAAGTTTTAATATTCTAGTAACATTGAAACAATCGATACTAATTGTTGCGAATAAAACTAGTAGGCATCATATTGAAATACTATAAAGTGAAATGCTTAAACAATTTAGGACATTCTATTGGCTATGAGTGAGACAGAAATAGAAAAGTTCTGCTGAGATTTGGTGGAAAAGGATGGTGCTGTAGGGCTTCTTTTTTTATGGGGAAAAATTCTCGCATTTGAGAGCAGTGGGTAGAGCAATGATTACGATAGGTGCTACACTTTGAAGTGCTGTTGGGACAATTATACCGAGATTCAGCTTATTTACACATTTATTTAAAAAATTATTCTGAATTTTTCAGTAGCTTTTAACTCTTAGTACACCCTCATTTTCATTCTGGCTAAAACAGTACTGGCTTCTCTGCTGGTGAATCATTTTGTCCATAGATAGAAAGGTTTTACACTTTGATACCTACAAAAAACTTATAGGGATATGGCTATATAATTAATTTATATTTGTTTAATGGCATGTATTTCATTAACAGTAAGCAATTACATGCCAAAATAAAAAAATACATTTTATTTTTTATTCCATAGATATTGATGAGTGTAAGGTCATGCCAAATTTATGTACACATGGCCAATGCATAAACACCATGGGTTCCTTCAGATGTTTTTGTAAAGTTGGCTATACTACTGATATAAGTGGTACTTCTTGTGTGGGTAAGTTATAGCCTTTATGGTTACTTCTATATTGTAGTATATTATTATATCTATATTATAACTCGTTACATTTTCCATTTTGTAATTTAAAATATTATGCTATACAGCCTCAAGCTTTGTATTTACTTTTTCATCAGATATAGAAAGTTCCCTTCAATTATATTCCTGATTCAAGACTCTCTCATGTCAATAGGAATAGTAACTTAATGCCTTTTAACATAGTCCTTGTATTATGATCAAAAATAGTGTTCTTGTTCTGTAGAGAGCCAAAGCTTGGAATTGGAAAGTGGGATTAATGTCATAAATTACTTTAAGCAAGATAGTATTTCCTTCCAGTGCCTTTGGAAATATTTTTTTATGAAGATTGGAAAGTAGTAATATCACTGTGATTTATCATGTGGGAATTTGGGACTTAAACTTACATAGCTTCCTATATGAACTGTAAATTTGATATTGTGAGTTTAAACTTTCTTGAAATATTTTTTCTCAATCGTTTTACAAATTTGATTGCAAATGCTGAACTCTAAATTGAGCTGAAGGATTTTTTTTTCCATTACTAAGTGAGAACTTCAAAATATTTATTGCCTATCAGGTTGGTTGGCCTTTTTGCACTATGATGAATCTTGTCTTTAACCATATTTGTTTTTTAAATAAATTTTAGTCTATTAGGCATTGTCCCCCAGTTTTATTTTGAATCCAATACTGTGGAATTAATTAAACTTGAATATGAATTATTCCTGTAATTAGATCTTGATGAATGCTCCCAGTCTCCCAAACCATGCAATTTTATTTGCAAGAATACTGAAGGAAGCTATCAATGTTCATGCCCACGTGGCTATATCCTCCAAGATGATGGAAAATCCTGTAGAGGTAAAAAGATTGAGTAATTTAGTAGATTTTCTAACCAATTAATTTATTATGTGATACAATCATGTTTTATATCAACTATCAAAACAATAATATTAAATGTGGCCCATTTGGATTCAATCCCAAAGGTCCTTTTCAAGAGGCAACTGGACTTTCTTTGAAGACATTTCACTTCTCATCCAAGAAGCTTCTTCAGCTCTTCATCTTCTTCAGAGAGACGAAGAAGCTTCTTGGATAAGAAGTGAAATGTCTTCAAAGAAAATAATGATAAAATCATGGAGTTCAGTTACACCTATATTGGATTGTTTATATCAGGGGTGCTTAAATTCAGCCCGTGGGGCCGCCTGGAAATATCAAAGGACTGGCCCCCACTGCCTCTGATGGCTAAAATGGGCTGCGCCTCATTTTCACCTTCCATGGCCTCCTGCAGCACTCTGCCAGCTGAAAATGGACCAAAATTGGACCCGAAAACAGGCTGAAAAATGAACCAAAAAGAGGTCGAAAAATGGGGTGAAAAACAAACCAAAAAGGGCCCAAAAAAACCTGGGCTCAAAACAGACCCGAAAATGGCCGGCAAAGTGCTGCAGGGGGCCATGGAGAGTGAAAATGAGGCACAGGGGTGCCACAAGCGGACCCCGTGTGCCCTATTTTGGCCAGCAAGGTGCTGCAGGAGACATCTGTCCTGCCCACTGCCCCTCCCCGCTGGCCTGCGGAGAAATACAATGCTGATCCGGCCCTCGAAGAAATCCAGTTTGATACCCCTGGTTTAAATATTCCAGTTCTATGGGCAAATGAGTAAAGACCGTGCCATTATTCCATTCTTACTGAACTTTTTTGTGGGTTTTTGAAGATGTTTCTCTACACACAAATCCTTAAGGAAGCATTACTCAGGGAGTCCTGATCTTTTATGCTTTTGCAGGGATGCCATTCCCATCATCCTGACCCATTATAAAGGAAATGCTCACCAAACTCACTATCTGTCCAAATGACAGCAGGACAGGCCAGTTGCCAGCATCCACTTCTCTGAAAACAATTCAGGGCAACACAGAATATGGGGTATTAACAAAATTAGGATCCTGAGAATTCCAAAAAAGGACAATTTATGAGAAAGCGAGAGATTGGATTTTTTTAGGCAAAATTGATAAGGAACAAATGTCTATGGTGGGGTGGGGGTGGCTACTCAAATGATGCATGAGTGCCATACAACTGTAGGACAAGCTCCACCCTTTTATTATATGCATTGTGATTCTGCATGCATGTTTGTAAGGGGTGGCACTTATACTATGGCATTTTTTGTGTTGAATCAAAGAGAGCCTTTTAGCTAATTCACTGCATTTAAAAGCAATTTTGATTGCTCCAACAGTTATTAAATATTAGATTAAATAATTATGTTGCCTTCATTTTAAAAGAAATAAACACCTTATTTTTTCAGATCTTGATGAGTGTCAAACTAAACAACATAACTGTCAATTCCTTTGTGTCAATACTCTGGGGGGATTCACATGTAAATGTCCACCAGGTTTCACTCAACATCATACGGCCTGTATAGGTAAGAGATTAATGTTGTTGTTTTTCATGAAAAACATGTAACATTTCTCTGATCTTCTTAGCAACAAACAGGTCTAATAATAAGATTAATAATCAGATTAATATGATTTAATGAGAAAAAGATTAAGATGAGAATTTGATCAATTCCACTTGACATATATCTTTCCATTTATTGATCTTTATCATATATCCCTTGCTATTTGCAACCTCTTTCACGTAGAGGGACATTGTGAAACATTCTCAAAGTGAAACCATAATTTTCCTATATTGCTTGCATGGATAGTATACAATAGGTACAAATAGTTTTCATTGTATATTATAATGAAAGCTAAAAGCCGTGATAATATTTGAAATTGAGAGCATGTCTTTATGATACTAAGAATATCAATTATGAATACAATTCAGCAAAAAAAAATCATACATAGCATTCTTTAGTTTTCTTTTGTATCTGATTCATAAAAAAATGAAATGTCATTTTGTAGATAACAATGAATGTGGATCACAGCCTTCACTTTGTGGATCAAAAGGAATCTGTCAAAATACTCCTGGAAGTTTTGCCTGTGAATGCCAAAGAGGTTTCTCTTTAGATTCCACTGGATTGAACTGTGAAGGTAATAAGTTGTGAAAACTGTGAGTGTCATAAATTACATACCAAAGAGATACTTCCGGAAATTGCCAATCATTATTTAATAATCATATTTGTATCTGTTAGACTTATCATGTGATTAATTGGCATCTTTATTATTCACAGGAACTCTTTTAACTCTTAGTGTTACTGGAATTTTGTCATTTATGTGTGGCAGAGCTACTGAAATATAGATTGGAGGACAATTTTCAATTTTTGATTGATTATGTGCCATCAAGTTGTTTTGAGCTCCTATTACCACATAGATAGATTTTCTCTACCACATAAATAGATGACAATCTATCCCTAACTTGTTCCTTCAGGTCTTCTAACAATTGTCACTGTAACCGAGTCCATCCACATTGCTGTTGGTCTTAGCACTGTGAGGAACAGAGAGTGTTTTTGCTTCCTGAATGGATTGCTTTAGTTGTTTTGTATTTTACTGTTATTTTAATTTCATAAAGCTTTCCAGAATCCTCTGGAATGGGATGGCCTACAAATTCAACAAACAAATATACAAAAAAGGGAAAATAAAAAAGAATGGCTGAAATGTACAAAATATGTCATAAATCTTCCATCCTTTCATTTACCTGAAAAAGGACCTATTTTTCCTTTTCTCAACAGCCAACAAGTAAACTGAACTTTCTAGCTAACCATGTACAATTATTATTCCCATACCCACCCTCAATAAAGCAGCCACTTCTCCTAAATATTAAATGGCTACTGGTAGGGCTTCCCTCCTGGCCCTTGATTCATAATTATCCTTAAGTGGGAAGCAAGAGAAAACTGAAGCATTATTTTCTCTGGCTTGTAATGGTTGCAGAGGATTTTTACAGCTTGAATCTACTTTTCTACTAATAAAAACTTTAATAATAACAATCCTTTGCATGTTAACTCAGAATAAAATGTCATTGTGTGATATGGAATTGTTTTTCTAAACGTATATACACAAAATTTAGTAAATTGTTTACTACTTTATTCTTTTATCTTTTTCTTTGTTTTAATATCTTTATTTATAGATGTGGATGAGTGTGATGGAAATCACAGATGCCAACATGGCTGCCAAAATATTCTTGGTGGCTACAGATGCAGCTGCCCACACGGATATATCCAGCATTATCAGTGGAATCAGTGTGTGGGTAAGAAACTCACTTTACATAAAGAGTGCTAGAATTGATACAAGGTAGAGAATAAAAATGGTGTACAGAAACACCAAATTAGTTTATTTTATATCATTTAATCCTTCATGTTGCTAGTTGTTATACCAACCCCTGCTATTAAAATGAAATATATTTATTTTGTTATTCCGGGTTCTTTAAAACAACACCAATTTCTGTATGCCAATCTTAAAAAAGAAAACTAGGAAATACGTTTATTAGCCTTAGAAATTAGTCACTACTGTAACAAGCTCTCCCTTGATAAAATCTGTATACTTAAAAAAGTATGTTTTTAATTGCCCAACAGATGAAAATGAATGCTCAAATCCTAGCATTTGTGGTTCAGCTTCATGCTACAACACTCTAGGAAGCTACAAATGTGCGTGTCCCTCTGGATTTTCTTATGATCAGCTCAATAGCGCATGCCACGATGTCAATGAATGTTCTTCTACTAAGAATCCCTGCAATTATGGCTGTTCCAATACTGAAGGCGGATACCTCTGTGGCTGCCCTCCAGGTTATTACAGAGCAGGGCAAGGGTAAGTAGTTGATGGTGGCAGACTTCCTGCATCTTTTACAAAACTGTGAGGAACTAACATATTTTAGTATGAAGCAATTTCCGCTATCTTGGAAGAGTCAAATCTCAATTCATTAATAAAGTTAATATTTTCTACTAGTGAAGTGTGTGATCTGTGATCTATGATTTCATATTATGCTTTCATGAAAGATTGAATGTTTAAAACAGTTATTAGAGAGAAACTATAATTTGTGTTCCTCCGCAAAAAAGGAATGTATCTGTAACATCTGTTCTAGTCAATCCCAATTCAGTGCTGATTATCATCACTTTTTTAAGCAATACTACCAGCCAGTTACCAACTCATTTGCTCTACTGTTCTCCAACTTGCACTGAATTTAGGCTATTCCAGTTAGGTTTTTGTAAGACAAATCATATACCTCTTGTTTAAACATAAAATATTTATGAAACTGAATAAGATGGCAGCCGTAGTGCTTACACTGGAACTATACAGAGTTTACAATGTGTAATTCAGATTAAATGAAAATTAAATATGTGAACTGGATCCAGAGTAAAACCACCACTGACAGAATAGCCTTTTTCAGCAGGAGTAGATTTAATCAGTAGAGTTTTTCAGCTGCCTAATTATGTAAGAGATAATACTCTTATTTTCTGTGGTATCGTATGCCTCCTCTCCAACGTTGTTGAATCATTTTGATCCGATCCTAGAAGTTGCTTCCCTTACAACATGCCCACAGTCATTGATTACAATTTAGTGGTTAGCAATTGGCTTGCAATTACAGATAGACCTCATTTAATGACCATTCATTCAGCAACCATTAAATATTACTACGGCGCTGAACAAAGAGATTTTTGAACAGCGCCCGAACTTACAGTTGTTGCAGCACCCATGCAGACACAGGATTGTGATCTGGGCACTTGGCAACTCATTCACACTTAGGATGGATTGCCAAGTGCCCTGCAATCATGTGATTGCCATCGGCAAACTTCCCTGCTGGCTTTTCCAGAAAGTCTACAAGATCTCAAGCTGTTGCTGCCTGGTTGGTTCCTGAAGGCTGGCTGAAAAAGATCCATCCAAAATCTAAGAGTGGATTTCAGGACAGACCTTTTTCAGCCAGCTCCTTGAGAGAGAAAAAATGCTGCTTGTCTCTTTGACAAACAGGAGGGAAACTGCAGCACTGGGTTGGAAAAAAAGAAGCTAACGAATTTCCTTCTGTGCACAAAGGGGAGCTGCCTGTCCCCCTTGGTCAGGTAGTTCTTTTGCTTTGTTTGCTTAACAACCACAGCTTGGAAAGTCAGAGTGCAGACATAAAGTTGAGTCAGATCATGTGGTGACCTGCTTTACGGCCACCATAACTTATGACCATAATTCCAAAGCTAATGTTGGAATATATCATCATTATCCAGGAAGGTATTTACTGTATCACATCACCTTGAATGATGACACTATACAATTTCTTATTTTCATATATAAAATATCAGTAATGTATATTGAGAACCTTGACAATAAAAATATATTTAATTCCATTTACATTACCTTTTTAAATATATCAGTGACTTGCCATTCTGCAGAAAGAAATGGAAATTTATTCCTTTGTCTTACATATTTTTGTTCTATTTGTGTTAGTGTCACTGCTTTTGTTTTGTTTTGTTTTGTTTTGTTTTGTTTTGTTTAATAGGTATGTAATATACATAAAAAGTTTAGAAAGGAATAAGTCCCTCCCTAAAGCTAAGTTACTAACAAAGGTGAAGAGTAAAAGATTGAAAACATTGAGAAGGAAATGCACAATTAAAGTATGCATTTTGTTTGTACAAAATGATTACAGCTTGTGTTTTTATCTGCATAACAAATCACTCTTTTCTCTTATGAATTATCAACTTGGCAACAAAAAGGCTTCTTTCTCCAGGTGCTAATATTATGACATTATTTACCAGGCACTGTGTCTCCGGTATGGGATTTAGTAAAGGGCAGTATCTACCAGTGGATCAAGGTGAAGAGAATGCTTTGTCCCCAGAAGCATGTTATGAGTGTAAAATTAATGGATATTCCCAAAAAGACAGCAGGAAGAAAAGAAGCCTCAATCAATCTGAGCCTGTAGAGGTAAGCAAAAACTGCCCAACTGATTTGCACTTGCTGTTCCAAAACCAGATCTAAACAATATCATCCACTGAATTTGTCAGAATCTCTCAATTCTTGACTGTTTTTTCATGCTTCATGGTTATTCTCACCATTAGTCATTAATCATTATTACTGCAATGAAATTCCAGTGCATAATGGAATAGATATTGTATGCAATGGATCAAACATTCACTGCAGTTTATATAATTTGCCTAATTATAATTATGGTAATGGTATAAATGTCTTAATGTGTGCACAGATCAATCATCACACAAATGACGCAAAGTAAGATTTTGTGCCATTTGATTATGTCATCACAGATGATGTAAACCTCCATAGTGATAAACTTTCCAATTTATCATATATTTGTGGATATCACACAAACTTTCCCCACAACTGTTTTATTAAAATGAAAGAACAGTGAAATGAGATTTTCTCATCTGGGGTGGGAATTACTTCATGCTGACCTTCCTCTAGATAAACACTTGGTTTAGTTGATATTTAACACCATGTATGCTTTGCTCCTACTAACTGACAAAACATAGGAAATGAAATCTCACACATCTGAAGGCCTGAGTGTGAGGAAGGTTGCTTTGGTGATATGATAAAAGTATGTTGATCAGTGTCCTTGGAGATTCTCAAACATCCAGGTCACGATTGTCCCAGAGGTGCTTTTTCAAAAGGCAACTGGACTTTCTTGTTTTTTCCTTGAAAACGTTTCACTTCTCATCCAAGAAGCTTCTTCAGCTTCTGTGTTGATCAGTATTTCTGATCAGGTCCTACGCAAATTCTATATTTTCCTATTGAATAAATTACCCAGTAAATTAGTAGAGCACAAAAGATGATATTTAGACTTATTTCTGTAAAATTCATGTTGGATGAAATATTCTGGAAGAATGGTAGATGTCCATTAGATGGGCCATACATGATCCGAAATGCAGTTTCTGGACCCGAGGTCTTGGTACCATTCTAGAGCCAGATAGCAGCAATGATGGAAAATAAGATAATTAATGATCTATGGTTAAAAAAAAAAAGTCTAAACAGAAATATTGAGGTTTGCCTACACCTTTTGCCCTTTGCTTTCTGGTTTAACAGATCAGTTTGGAAAGTTTGGACATTGATCTTCCATTGAAGATGAGATTCAGCGTAACTGGCCTTGGCAATAAAGAACATATATTAGATCTCATGCCTGCAATACAGAGCCTCACAAATCACAACCGCTACGCTATCTCCTTTGGTAATCACAACAGCACCTTCCGGATACACCAGAAAGATGGGCTCAGTTATCTTCAGGTTGCTAAGAAAAAAGCCACAGTTGGTATTTACACACTGGAAATAGTTAGCATTCCTCTGTACAAAAAGGAAGAACTAAAGAAATTGGAAGAAAGCAACGAGGACAACTACCTCCTAGGAGAACTTGGAGAAGCTCTTAAAATGAGACTTTGGATTGAACTCTATTAAAACCTTCCTTCCTCACTCCCATCATGAAGGATTCCCTTCTCTTCACGCATCATATCATATACTTTGGTTTTGAAAGCTTTAAAGGGGTCGGTAACTTACTTTTTCAGAAGACCCAAAATTGCAAATAGTGACCTCTGCATCCTTCTGTCCTGAATAAGACTGAAGAACAGACCTCAACCTTTCTATTACCAAAACCTTGATAACAATGCCAACAATCATGATTACTATATTGTCTATATAATCTCAATTTTAAATATATATTTTTTAAAAAAAGAAAATGTGGTGCTTAAAAAATCATATATGGCACTAAATGGCACAAAATGTGAGTTACTTTTTTTTTCCTATAAGCACTCTAGCATATTGATGATTTTGCTGTAGTTCCTAAATTAAAAATAGAGATTTTATTTATTTTTAATGCAATAATATATGGAGAAATTAACAATCTGTGTTAAAAAGGAAAAAGAAAACACTTGCTTTTCTTTGCAATTTTATGGATTTGAACTATTACATGTATTAGGTATTTTAGAAAAAAACAGAAACGAATAGATTGAAAAAGTTTCCTCTCAGTCTTGTGCCTATTATCCACAAAGCATTTTTTAAAAAAAATCACGTGATCAAATGAGCACTGTAATATAATACCCAAGGGCTTTCTTTTCCCTAGGCAAGATATTTAAATAATGCATTATCTTAAATAATCATGATCAGAATTTCAATTTTAAACTTGGTGCTGATACTCAACATGCACATCATACAAACTAGATTTTTCTATCAGAGAAGACTATTCACGGAAATGATGCACAACCACTGTAACAAAATACCTGGAATGCTTGTGATATCCTTGGTATCGCAAGCCAACCCGTACTGTATTTCCTTCAGGTAACCTCACTATATCACACAAACCTCATTAACTACAACAAAAGGTGCTTGACATATTTGCATTACTGTAGGCAGCTGATTTACAAATCATGTATTCTTAGAAGGGAACATCTGTTTCATTCTAAGTGGTGCTGGCTTGAATTCATCCTGAAATAAACATGGCTGAGCTATTGCAGAATTGTCATATGTGTACACTATTCATGCTGCATGGAAAAAACACATATTGGAAAATAAGAATGTTCATTAATGCTGTAGTTATACACAATATGTCTCGTTTTATCATAGCCTATTTTATAAGTTACCTTTGTACAATGTGTTGGCATTTAGTTTAGTGTGTTTTTTATTTTTGTTTTAATTTGTCATTTAATAAGTGTATGTCACCATGGTGCTATTAAATAATAACTTGTACTTGTTACAGGTCATATAAAAAAGCCTCACATGTGAACCAACACAAAACACATTCCATGCCTGCTTTTCCTCTTTTTTTTTAATCTGTACTGATCAAAAATTGCCAGAAGTTATGCTCACTGTTTTGGTTCCTACTCTGTATTTTCTGTGTATTTTCTTTTATGAAAAGAGAAAACTTTGTAAATTGCATTTTGGAAAAAAAAACAGTATTATTTTGTTGGTCTTTGTATTAATACAGCATCACTTTTCCTGAAATAAAACTTATTTTCCGATAGCTGCATTATTTTGTTTTGATATGGGGAGATAGTCAACCTTATAACATTAGGAGTGAATGATGATGTGTTTTCTCTCCTTATTTTCAATTTTGCAGAACTTACACAGGATTATCATTGTTTTCTGAGTGAATTGTAGCACTTTTCCTGAGACACAACTGAAAAATATTAGTGTGAAATATAGGGCAGATGGAAAGTATGAAAAAGGGCTCAACTTGTACATTGTGGGTCAAAGTATATTGGGAATCTGAATAATGAATTCAGTTAATGACTTGGTAATTTTATTTAAGAGACTGTGTTAAGTGGTGCCCCTTAATTAATCACTTATGTGATCTAATCCGCACATGTAGAAAGAGCAATAATTTCCAAGACCCGAGACTTCTTTCCCTGCAGAGCACAGAGGAAAAGGCAGGAGGAGAAGGGCTAAGGAAGGAAGCGGAACGGAATAACCCACCAAGGCCAACTCACTCAGGGACAACTTGCTGTGGGACAATTCAACAATTCAATTTAATTTAAAATAATTTTAAAAAATATTTAAATTTTTGTCATTTGCATTTCATTTTGTCCCTCCTTTTGCATCCTTTCTTTAATGATTCTATTACACCAATTCTTAAATATTTTGTAATTCTTGTCCTGCGGTGAGTTGACTGTGATGAGTTAAGCGCAGAAAGTTGGTTGTGGCAAATTGGCCATAGTGAGTTGGCTGCAGTGAGTTGGCCATGGGAAGTTGTCCTAGGCCCAGAAGGGAGGCCCTCTGCCTTGGTCCCAGCATTTAGTGGCATGACAGCTCTGGTCTCCCTCACATATAGGACCCACAAGACCATACCCATATAGAAAGGACTTGAAGATTCCCATCCCATGAGGGCTACTTGGTGGCTGTCCTGACAATCTGATTGTTAAGGACCTTAAAAGCAGGTTTTTACTCAGAGATCATTCAGGAGGCCAATGGGCTCCTTACAACACTTATGTTTTATTACATAGGATTCTAAACCTTGAGCCTTATGAAAAATAGGTAGTGTATACAAAATGACTATTTCTGGCAAAGCATTGCTAGACAATTCATAAAGCTTCTGATACTTGTCTATTCTGATGGCTAGCAGAATCATAGGTAGAAGGATGTGAGTCATGTGGGGCCCTGTGTTTATTTTTAAAAAATGGTGATAACAGATTGAAGCTAGCCATGCCTCCCCCTGAACAAAAGCATCCTTTGTATTCTGAAGGAGGAGGCAAGACAGACCAGGCTTCAAGGTCAGCTATCTTCTTGCATCAGTGTTCTCAGTTTGGCAGGGAAATATTTCCTTAATTATCAACAACAGATTTAATGAGCTTTTATTGATTTAACACTTCCAATTTACCTACATCTATAAAACATACCCGTACTTTAAATATGTTTAAGAGCAGCCAAAGTATATTAAATCATAGAAATTATTGCTGGAGCTTTGTAAGTTATACTTTTTAAATACCTGTTAGTTTGTTTTTTGAAGAGCTTCTAATTTTATTGTTTGGAACAGAATATGATCCAAGTTGCTGTAGTCCTGGATATTTACAGGATTGCTGCTTTTGTCAAAATGGCTAAGTAGTGTGGCACTGTTGTGCTGTGAGCCCCCCCCCCCCTTTTATAGGTACATGCAAAACAATGCAATGTCAAATGTGTGTGCTTGTGTCACAAAGGCCTGATTTGGTTTCCATCTTTCTGCCCCTGCACACTGTCCTCTTCCCAGATGCTGGCTCTCAGAGTAGCCCTGAGAGAACAAATTGGAGACACAGAAATTGAAAGGCCAATTTGGAAAGAAGGGACGTTTATAAGGAATGATGAAGATGAACTGATCATCAGCAGGTAAAGCAATGTGAGGAATCCATCACTAAAGGGGTCTTAGGGGGTCTTAAGGGGTCCTTGGTGCTCTTTGAGTTTGGTTGTTTTCTTGCAGATGTTTCATTACTCCAATTAGGTAAGATCATCAGTGCATTGAAGACGCAAGAAAACAACCAAGCTCAGACCCTAAGGACACCACATTTCATCCCTGAGTTCCAAATATTCTCCTTTATTGGATCACTAGTCTTTTCCAGAAATCAGAATGAGGCAAAGCAAATGATAATCTTTTAATCCTTGAACTTTCTTCTACTCCCCCAAACTATTCTTTTCACTGGGGCCCAATTGCAAGGAACACTCTAATGGGGGGGGATTAGTATCTGTCCTCTTTCTCCTTTCCCTGTATAGTATTTTAGCTACATGTTAAAAAGATGCTTCCACTTTCAGTGCAGCTACTCTGGCAAATGACAATGGAATTTTGTAGAGCCCAGGAACCAGGCTGGTAGGGTTAAAATCACCTGCGGCATTCCAGGTAAATGGAAAGTTAGTGAGAATGACCTTACTTTTAAGAATTAAATCCAGATTTCAACACACCTGTTGTGCATTTATGCTGTTCTTTATACCTATTCTTATTGCATTGAGTAAGCCTGAATGTCTGCCTTTGCAGGTGAAAATGTAGCAAATTGATTATAATTATCAGTGTCTGTAGCACTTCCAAGCCCATTATTGCCACCTAACCTGGAAAATTATCATGGTAGCTAAGAATTATGGGAAATGTAGGCCAACCTAGGTGGAAGTGTATTCTTTACATTCAGTTCAGTTTTCAAATTGTACCTGGTAATGCACAGAATCAGGTTCTACTTCATTCTTCTCTTCTTCAAAGACTTAAAATAGTTGGCTGCACTTGGCCCTACCTTTATTTAAATGGGTGCCTCCTTTGCTTTTGAAAACAGCACAAGGAGTTTGAAAAAAATGCTGGCTTTGGAATTTAAAGGCAAAGAATCACCAGCATTTTCTCAGCAAATGCTGGAGAAGGTGGGATGAGCCGTGCAAAGTTATCTACACTACAAATGATCTTGAACGTTCTGTTCTGAGAGAATGGTTGCTTTATTTGGATTAAATATTTAATATTAATATTAGTTCAATGACCCTTCTCTCCTGTGCTTAATCTAAAGACATTGGCAGAAACTCCTCATATGATCTCAGATCTTTTTTAGCCTGAATTTGTATACATTGATTATTTTAGTTCAGTTGTAGCTCTTGGTTGGTTAAACATGCATATGAGTTCAGGTAGACTTCTAGAACAAAAAAAAAAAGTTGCCTTAGAAACTGAGATATGAGGGAATTGTCACACTTCAAATGTCTATATTTCAATGTATGTTTTTCTGAAAGCACAACAAAAGTAATTCTTACCTGTTCTATAGAATTGGAATTAACAAAGATTTTCCTGAATATTGTATAGGTATTTATTTATTTATTTATTTATTTATTTATTTAATTTATATACCGCCCTACTCCCGAAGGACTCAGGGCGGTGAACAGCCAAACAGTAAAAATACATAGATACAAAATTTAAAAACAAAGTAAAATCGAATTAAACAATTTGGCCCAAACAGATTAAAACCCCAATCATTTAAAAAACCAATTAAAATTTGCATAATTAAAAAGAGGGAAAAGATTAGGCCTGGTGGAATAAAAAGGTTTTAAGAGCGCGGCGGAAGGTGTGCAGATCCGGGATCTTCCGTATCTCCGGGGGGAGCTCGTTCCAGATAGTAGGTGCCCCCACAGAGAAGGCTCTCCCCCTAGGGGCCGCCAGTCGACATTGTTTGGCCGACGGCACCCAGACAAGCCCCTCTCTATGAGAGCGTACCGGCCGTATAGGTAGTGCTGGAACTAAAGGAATCATTTCAGTTTGATGACTTTGCTGAAAACCTTATGCAGGCTATAATACAAAAGTCTAGGTATTAAACTAACAGAGGTTCATTGCATTGATATATATATTATTCAATGCATGGAGGATACAAAATGTGATAACCACACAGTGGGGTCAGTGTCTATAGTTTGATATTAAAATCGAAATAAGCAAAGTTTGTAGGATTTTTCTCTGACCACAAGATGGCGTTTGACAACTTCCATATAACAGTGTTCTCAATTTTTGTTTCCCACTTGACATACTATCTGGTTCATTTCAAACTTGACATACTATCTGGTTCAGTTCAATTTGCCTTTCCATTCCTGCATAGACAGGAGTGGAGAGGCCCGTCGAGAGATGCTTCTAGCAACCTTGCTGGAAGGGAAAACAAATTGGAGGAGAGATAAAAAGGACTTTCCCTATCATTCTTCAGAAATATTTTCACTCTAATTCTGCACACACACAAAAAAAGACAATAAAACAATATTGAATATTCAAAAAAACCCCAAAAACCTAACAACCCAACAACAACCCCAAATTGGCAAGCTTATATAGCCCAGGTAGCAAGTTCATACCTGCTCCTTTTTCCTGGAAGAAATTTAAATGCAATGGAAGGCTAACTTTGAGCCTACAATCCACTCCAATATAAGCCTAGCATCCTCCAAAGGGAAGTCTAGGTTTGAACCAGAACATAGGAGTTCGTCGTTACTACTGTCTTTCTCTTCTTCTTTATTCTAAGGCAAGCTACTAGAGAAGGACTAGCAAGGTCTACCACTCATTCGCTCTGGTATCCATAGTGTGGTTATCCAGCCAAATCTGTAACGCCATCGCTCACATACACCTTCCCCGCTCCTGAGGGAAAATTGTCGTGCTCTAGTGTTCCCCATTTTGGATGAACAAACCAGCCCTGCAGTGATTTCAAAGCATGCTACTCAGCAGATGACCTTCTATCTCTAGATTGCTGTGAATGCTGTCATTTGGGGCCACAGGCAAAGTCAGGGAAATGAAATGTCAGTTGAAGATTCAAATCCCATGATGCTTCAGTCCCTTCATGATCTATGGGCCACAAGACATAGCAAGTCAGCGTAAATTTCAATTTTTTTAAAAAAACTTGCCTTTATTATTTTTATAAATAACTCAAGGTAGTGAACATATCCAACACACATTCCTCCTATTTTCCCCACAGCAATAACCCGGTGAGGTGAGTTGGGCTGAGAGAGAATGACTCAGAATGGCCCAGTCACCCAGCTGCCTTATATACCTAAGGTGGGGCCAACCTTATACTGGCTATCTGCCTGCTATAAGAGGTGGCTAATGTGAGGTTATTTCCTCCTGCCTCTTCTCAGCCATGTGGGGCATGGAATGTAGTTAGCTCAGTGCTAGGTGCTGCCTATCCTTATAAATCATGTTCTGCTACAGTTAAAAACCTGCTTCCTAATTGTTGCTCTGAGTAAGATTCTCCCCCTCAGGAATGCTCACAAGTCCACAGAGAAAGCTTCAGCCTCCAACAAGATGCAGGTGGTTAGCCAACGTTGCTAAGCAGGTGAAAGAATAAAATAAATAGCAGCTTAGTTTTTCCCTATGGCCCAGCTTAGTATTTGAATAGGAGGAGGATTTGCAATTTTAGATTCAGAGCTCATGACCGGAAACATATCTATCCTGAAACCTGTTAAACCAGGGATGTCAAACTCACGGCCCGCAGCCCAGATGTGTCACGCGCTGGCCATGCCCAAAGGGGAAAAAAGTTGTGATAAGTTACGAGTCGTCATGAGTTTGACACCCCTGTGTTAAACCATACACTAACCAGACTAGAGCTGAAAAGGCATTTATTTATAATTCTGCATAGATTTGTGAATCACTGGAATATTTTGCTGAACTCGTGGGTTAAAACTAAATGCAGAATTCTTTTGCATCTTAATGAATAGAACTGGGTTTTTGTAGAACTAAACTACATCAGCTGAAGATGACGAGAATTAATGGGAGAAAAGCAAACAGGAACAGAGAATTTTATATTTAAGTCTCACAAAGAAAAAACTGAATACAAAATATGAATGTAAAGCAATCAGAGTTTGATTTTCACAAGACGTATTGCAATAATACAATAAAACATGATTATAGATCATCTGAATTTTTAAAAAGCATTAAACTTTTATAGGAACTGCATAATTAACCACCAGTTCCAGCTCAGTGAAACTGAGTATGAAGCTGAGGAAGGAGGTGGTTGCAATGCAACACACACTGTATCAAAGACAAGCCAGGAGTGCTGACCGGCTCTATCTCAAGGGACTGTGGCCCTCCAATGGAAGAGCAGTGGAGTGCCAAATGAGGTCAGGAAAGAGGATTTTAAAATGCCATTAAATAAAATTGAAGGATGCAAGTACAGCAATGACTGGAAAATATATTTTCCTGGGACTGGAAATGTGCTTCTTTATAGGCTTGTAAATAAAGCAATTGTGATGGCTCTAGAAGTCTCAAGTGCGTTTAATTCCCATTTTTGTGTGTGGATAGTTATTTTGAATTCTTTTAACTATTGGCACTCATCCATAATGTTGGGAAACAGCACAGATGGCACAATCCATGTACTGTTAAAATTACGCCCCCCCCCCCCGAAAAAGTGCCTCAAACAATTTCTAGATGTTGTAAAACCATGGCTATGTTTGCCTGTATTGAAAATGCAGCAGATGAGAATAGCCTTTTTTGCAACTGAGCTGCCACCGCAGATGACATGCTGAAGCAGGGACAGCCGGAATGGAGTTCCTTGGGGCGAGGTTCAAATGCAGACAGCAAATACCGAGGGCACTTGATTCTTCATACTTAAGGTGGGATAAGATTTGGAAAGATCTATGCAGGAACAATGAAGAATTCTGTGGCAGTTAATACCAATGCAAATATTTTTATGGATCAGTCCTCTTCATCTAATGCAGAATAGCCGTGAAAAAAGGAATATTCCATATATACACTGGAATACGAAACATTATATTCTATTTGGTTTATGAAATTGCCACAATGACTCAAAAGTTTAAATAAAATCATGGACAGGTCTATCAATGAGAAATTATATGCATGAATTTCTTCACTAGAGGCAATATAAAACTATTTTTATGTACATTTACGAACCAAGGCAGATAGCCTTTTCAATTCCACTTGTTCATGAGTTCCTCCAGGATCATTTGAAAACAATTCCCAATTAGTGAAATTGCCACATTTTGATAAATCTAGCATTATTCAACCAAGCCAAAATCAATCTGGGTTGGTCCCCACCCCCCCAATCTTGTAAATAACTTGGCTCCTTCAGGCTCTTTTCTTAAGGATAAGTGCTAGATAGAGCAAATGCCAAGCCAAGGAAATCTTTCTGGAAACATTACAGCTGTAAGGCTTCTGAGATAAATGAAGTTTGGCAGGACACAGCCTGGAAGAGAGAGAGAAAGACACCATCTGTGGCCAGGATGGATAGGTGACTGGGAAGAATGGCACAATCTTTGGATGGCAGTAGATGTTTCTGAACTTAAATGTACAAGTATCAAACTTAAGAATGAGTTCATTCACAGATAAATAGGGAAAGACTGCATTTTTTCTTATCTCTGACAAGCAAGACTGCTGGGCTAGGCTGATCCTGCCAAGTAATTCATATTTGGCCTGCATGCAGACAGTTAAAAGCAAGTAGCTGTTTAGGCAGATTCCGCTGGAGAAGGAAGTGGATGAACTATGACAGATCAAGGTTATCTTATCTGGAGACGACAGAAAGAGTGTCAATGGTGCTTGAAATATTAAACCTGCAATAGCCAAAACAGATGACATGGAAGGAAAATGGTCAGAACCGCACTGGGGTAGGTATGGGGGGGGGGTGTTTGCAGGGGGAAACACTGTAAATAAAAATGAAATGATTTAGACAAAAAGTATTTAATTCACTTCCATTTATTGCAGTGATCTTTCTTCAGTATAGTAGAGTAGCTGCAATACTCCATGTTGTTAAAACATTAGAAAAGTCATAACTGTAGGTAACAGTTGCAATACATTATCAAAATATGACATAACATTTTTGGACTGTGGATAGTACCAACCAAAGCTCAAGCTTTAAATTAAGACCGTAGTTCATTTTTAAATAAACAAAATAGCATATAAAATAATTGTGTAAAAAGGAAAGACAAACATAATGAAAATAATAAATAATCAATTTCTTCAACTATTTTCTAAACACTTCCAAATTTCACAAAATAAATTTATAAAAATGATATTGCTGAGTGTCAATGGAAAACTATTTCAAGTTATTGATTGAAACGTAAAAAGTGTCCAAAAGAAATTTAAAATTATAGTAAATAGAAACTGGAATGGCTAAATTTGCTAACAAGTTAATAGTATATATTATCTGGAGAGCTTTAATAATGTTATAATTTGGCATTTTGCATTTCTAATATTGGAAATTTTAATTGGATAAAGAACTTTTAAGTCACAGACTATATTTGGTACCCATCAATAGATCCAAATGTTAAAATAATTATTTCAGCCATCACACACAGACAGAAATGCAATTCCTTTCTTTTGCACATCACAAATAATGGCTGCCCTAAATGGGCCAAACTGCTAAGTGTCCAAGTGCATTTCTTCTGGATGGTGACACAGTTTTCTATCCTATTCTAAGTCTGCACTTAACAGGGGAAAGGAAAGGAAATTCAGCCTCACTGAGTAATTTTACATCTTCTCTCATCACAGCAACAATCAATCAATCTGGTAGTAATCAATACTCTTATTTGCAATGTGATTTTTTTAAAAAAAGTAATGATAAACTATTATAAACTTCCAATTTCCTTTGAAAAATATATCCTGGCAATGAATTACTCTATGTGGCAGCCAACGTGTATTGCACTTCTTGAAAAAAAAAAATCAGCATTAGAGCAGTATATTACTGAAGGTTATTACAATATGCAAGAATCCTGTTGTCCTATCAACCAGATCTTCCAAAACAATTATTCATTCACAGATTTTGATTTCACTTAGCAGGAAAGCTGTTTTTTTATATGCTATGTGTTCACTTACAAACTCTGAAATTATAGATCTTTGATCTAATATGGCGCTCTGTATTAAAGCCAAAAGTTGAAACATATTTTTAGGCAACTTACAGGTAACAGGTATAAGTGTTGTTATAATTATTGGATAAAGTCTCAAGAGTTTCTTCAGGAAGCAGTTCATAGAATAAAAAAATATAAAGCAATTGAAATATATACCCATCCACAAACAGAGGGCACACAAATGGGCAGTTCTGGAATACACCATCTTCTTATCAAATTAAAAAGCTCAAGAGAACCAAACCTGAGTGTTTAGCAAGAGTTTTAGCAGATTTTAAATAAACTGCCTTTGGATGCCCTGGACAAAACATGGTCCCACAGAACTATTCTTTATCCATAAGGTTCCCCCAAAAGGGCACACACAGTATCAGTCCCAACACCGATGGCATCCTGTGACAAAAGCACCCTTTGACAACGGAGCTGCACAATAAAATCTGGCCGGTTAATCTTCTGTCATAGGAGCCCAAGGAAAACATAGGACGGGATAGAATTGGAGAACATCAATAGTTCCCAATTAAGTACATCTTTCAGTAGTAAAAATTGAACATTACAAAGTCCTCAATGCTAACTGCTTGAATTTGACTTTATTATCATAGCCAAGTCATCCCACTTACCTCTTAGGTCTAACCAGTCTCTTAAACAGACACATACACAGACCACAGACACACAACCCCCCTGTTTCAAACAATAAGAAACATACAACAGTCCAAACTAATACCTTCATGGAAGAACAGAATGCAGCATCTTTATTATTGTAAGATGGAAGAGTCTAGAAACTAGAGGAAGTCTGATCTAAAGTTTTAACCAATGGCAGACTGACTTTATAAATTTACAAAACGATATATGGATGAAATTTGGTTAACTTCAGAAGGCACCTCAAGGCTAAAAGGTTTTTATAAATCTATAACCCTTTCATTGATCAAAAATAAACACTTTATTGCTGCCTTTCAAGTAGCAAAGAAAAACTTGTTTATTTATTCTTTACTAAGGAATCCTCCCCCATTTAGCAAGATTAAATTACAGAAGAATTAGAAAAAAATGGAACTTCCACAACTTTAGGAGTATAGTGACTTTCCTTATGTGCTTTTGAGTCAGGGGAATAGTGAGAAAGTTATCACTTTCTGCCTCTGTGTGAGGTTAATATTTTAATAGAACGTTCCAGTCCCTTTCCTCTAGGCACTGAAGTACCATTTCTTCCCCGTTGCATCTTGCACAAGAGAGTTTATGAATAGAAGGTAAGAACACTTTGATGATTTCCACGGACAAGGAGAATGGGTGGAAGGTCTTTTGAAAGAGCTTCTATCCAGGCCATGTACAATGCACTCGATACTGCACTTTTTCGTGCAACTGGTAAACTCCTATTAAAAAACAGAGGAGGAAAAATTATTCACAGATGGACAGAATTAGAACTGTATTATGTAATCTAATTTAAACTGATCTGGCATCCAAAATATTTTTTGACATGAAATGGTTTTACTCAATGTTGTTCATTGAGTAGTATTGATAAACAATTCACAATTCTGCTGAAAGCAGTTTTTAAATTTTTATTTGATTTGCTATTTCTACCAATCACCCCCAAGTTCTTTAGTAGCAAGACCTATATTCAAGCAGGATTCACCCAATTAAATGATTAATTTATTGCAAACCACCATACTGTATTCTTTCCATTATCACTAAATTCTTATGCAATTAAGCTTACATTGACCCAAGGTTATTTTTATTATTTAATGCTTATTAGCTATATTTATAGATCTCCTCAAATCCCGAAAATTATGTTCTTTTTTTAAAAAAAAAAGAACGCAAAAACAAGGACAACAGGGCTGGTATAAAAATGAAAGTTCCCACAGGAAATCTGTTCCATAGGAACTTCATGAGAAGGGGGGAAACTTACAGCAGGCATCTCTAAGATAGACAGATTCAAGCTAGGAAAATCTCTGATCACATATCCTGTTGCAAAATTGGTTTTAATGGAAATGAATTGGTCCCAGAAGCCTATTGGCAACTAGTGCAACAACCATATAATTGGCATTATTCTACAAGGATGAGGTTGTCTTACCAAAGAGCTAGTTATGATGTTTGTCCCGGATGCAGCCTGGGTCATCTCAGAAAGCCTCTAAAGGAGTGATGAAGGTTAGATTGGAACTGGTGCAGGTGGGATGTGCAAGTGGCTGGTGAGGTGAGTGCAGTGGGACTGGGGGAGGGTATGTGAATGGGCAACAAAGTGTAGCATGACCATGGATTGAGGGAACAGATCGCCAGTGAGGCCTGGAAAGGGTGAGAGAGGGTGCACAAGGGTGCTATAGCACAAGAAGCTCCAGA